TGTATAGTTTTTATTCGTTTTTGTTTCAGTTTTAGTTTATTTTAGTACATAAAGCTAAACTAAATGAATATCGAGCTAAACTAAATGAAAATGAGAAATGCTGAGAACTAGCTGAAATATTGACACAATGTTATTAAATATTTTGAGATACTATTGTTATTTTTATTAATAATTGAATTTATAATAATTCTAATTGTAAAGTTTGTCATTTTTTTATTAGGTATTTTTGAATGTATAGTTTTTATAAATTTTTATTTCAGTTTATTTCATGTTTCATGCAACTGAAATCAAATTAATCGCATTAAATCATAGATTAAGTGATAATCCCCTCAGAGGGACCCGGGGAGCCGGCTGCTCTGTTACCCAGAGATCAGTGCAGCGTCCCTGGGGAAGAGCGCTGAGCGAGCCCCTGGATTAGGCCTCAAAATCACCCGCGGACCCTCACTTCCATAATTACGCTTTATTAATTGAGATATTGGATATTGTTTAGTGTGTTTGAGAGCATGTGTACGTGTTTACTGACGGCAGCTGTTTGGGATTTTTGTATTTTAAGAAGGGGGAAATACTGGATTGTAAAAGAGCCGCTAACGAGTATCAGAGCTTATATAATGTGAATTAATCGCCTCTCGTCGTCCATGATCTCTTTAAGCTCACAGTAACATGTCATAACGCAATTGCATTTGTGCGGTTCAGTGGAACATCAGCTCGATTTCCACATGAGTGGATCTGAATCTGTCCAGAATTACACATACATCGGCCTACTGAAGAAACACGCTTTATAAGTGCTGTGCTCGGTGCGCGTCTCCAAACACAATGCAGACGCTCAGAAAAGATCGTCCAAAGCGAGGAGCCTCACGCTGGAGGACGAGGACTGGATCTGGACGGCCAATAAGAAGACGCCGCTGATCACTGGATCCAATCTGACGCGCTCTGGAAGCGTTAAAGATCTCATATACAGGTTCGACGGGCCGCCAACGCCGCCGCCGCGCCTCGGCTCGCTGAAGATCAAACGGCAAGACGTGAGCGCACGGGATTCTGGGAAAATGAGACATGAAAGCAGAGAGAGAGGGAAGAACCAGAACCCGGTCTCCGGTGAACCATCAGAACCGGAAACACAAGAAAGCTCCGAGCAGAAACGCCATGGCGCAGAGAAGAAGAAGAGCAGCGATGACAAAGTGGCTGTCTCTGATCCCGGTCCGGTAAGTGTCCGAGCCGCTCTCGGTATCGGACTCGTCTCGTCCCGTCGACCGCGCTGCTTCACTGTGAATCTGAGTCCTGACACACATGAATCTGCTGCAGTCGGCCAATCACAGCCTTTGATTTCAGACACACGCTTCATCAATCAGCCCACACTAACACATCCAGACTCGTGTCCATGTCTCCGAGCGTTTGGTCTGTGCATGAGCGGTGTTGTTTTACTATCAGTGAGATTCTGTTTTTATATCATTTACAGTCGTATTTTGAATGAATTATTATTGTTATATTTCCCTTTTAATTTTTTATATTTATTTGGGTATTTTTTTATATTTGTATTTTTTATTTTAAAATTCACTTAGTTTTAGGAATTTTGTTGTGCTTTGTTGTCATTGTTATTATTATTTGTTTATTTATTTCTATATCATTTCCATTTTATTAAATTTGATTTCACCTTTACTTGTTGTATATCAAGTGAAGTTAGATGAAAATGACATGTTGCCTTGGCAATTAGCTGAAATTATTTTTTTAAATTTAGTTTTATTTATTTATTTTATTAAGGTTAACTTTATTTATTTATTTATTTGAAGTTTTTATTAATATTTTGATCTGGTTTTTATATTTATATTTTATGTTTATATTTTTTCATTTTAAATTTAAAGTTTTAGTAATTTTGTTGTGTGTTTTTGTTATTATTATACAAAGTTTTATTAAGTTTTATATCAGTTTTAGTTATTTTAGTACATCAAGTTAAACTAAATAAAAATTAGAAATGTTGCCTGGGCAAGTAGCTGAAATGAAATAAGTTTGTTTTTTATATTTAATTTTATTAAGGTTAACGTTTGTTTATGTTTGTATTTATTTATTTTCGTTAATTTTAATTTATTTATTTAATAAGGGAGAGTGTACATTAAGAAAAAAAATAACTAAATAATATTAGCACATAATACACTGAAATAATCAAATTATAACAAATATTGTTATAGCTGAAAAAAACTAAACAAGTAATGAACATGTTTTTGTTTTTGTTTTTAGTTGTGTAATAGCCCTGTGCATGATGTGTGTGCTTCAGATGTGCATGTGTGTGTTTGTTGTGTCTCTGAGTGTTTGTAACACAACATGCATCTGATCTGCTGTAAATAGAATAATCGCTGTGTTTTTGTGTTTTGGTTTATGATTGAAACCGCAGCTCTGTCCTCACTCGTTTGCGTTCTGATTCATGACGCTGAGCTTGATTTTCGAAGTTTAATGTTTAATTGTCTCTCACGCCGCTCTCTTTCTTACCCAGCATTCCAGCCTATACGGCGAGAAGCAGCACAGCGGCCCTCAGTCGAAGGAGGAGCCCACCACCCCCAAAATCCGCCCCAACCCCAAGTACCAGCTCTACCTGGGCTACAACGGCACCAGCGGCTCCAATGGGTCAGTGGTGGACGGCAGCGGGAGCCACGGGAATCTGCTGAGGGTCAGTTCAGTGATCCGCGGCTCCATGGAGTCGCTCTCATCCCGGGACTGGGACGGCATGTCCGACAGAGTGAGTCAAAACATCTGATTACTGCCTTAGTGAGTAATTAAAAAATGTTACTTTTTATGGAAACCAGGAGTAGCATAGTATAGTATGGTATGGTATGGCATAGCATAGCATAGCAGCGTATAGTATAGTATGGTATAGTATAGTATGGTATAGTATAGTATAGTATAGCATAGCATAGCATAGCA